CTGAATGAATGAGCAATATTGCTGCACCAGATTGTGACATTTCTCCAGTGTATCACGTAATTATAAGATCTAATGGAGTTGAAAAAGCTATCGATCATTTGCCAACCTACTCAAGTCCTGGTCCCCATGGTATTAGCAGGAAATTGCTGAAACTCACTAAGGTTTAGTCAGCTCTTACACTTGCACTCATTTTTCAACAATCATTAGAAACTATCCAAATTCCTGATGACTGGAAACTTGCTCATGTAGTGCCGATATTTAAAAAAGGGTGATAAGAATGAATTGGCAAATTACCGTAATTACTCGAATCTAACGCGCACCTTTTTTCCGGTTAAGCCAGTTCATAAATCGCATGCGCGTTAGAATTGAGTACGAACAAAAAAATTACGGTCAATCTATTGCCATCGGCAAATTCAAAATGGCCGCCCCTATGTGCGTCGGCATGGCGCGTCGGCCATTTCTGCCTATGTGTTTCCCATGTGCGGCACTTCGTACGTGTGCTGAGGAGTTCATCTAGTAGAGCATTAGCATCGACGGCGTGGAAGGGCCGACTCCAAAAACTCGAGTGCACCACGATGCCGCTTTTAAAAGAAAAGTTATCGCGTGTGCAGAAACGGACGGAAATCGGGCCGCATCGCGGTCGTTCGGAGTTCCCGAAACGTGCGTGCGGGACCGGCGGAAACAAAAGCAGAAGATTGTCGACAGCAAAGCTTCACGCAAAGGCTTCAGTGGACCACAGCAGGGTCGGTTTCCGCAAATTAAAGAGCTGCTTGGCGAGTATGTGCTTGAGCAGCGAGCGGCACAGCGGCCCGTGACGACAGAAATGCTCCAAGTGCGGGCTATGCAATTGGTCTTAGAAAAAGGTCTAATGCGGAGCCAGTTTAAAGCGAGCAGGTGCTGGCTAACTAACTTTATGAAGAGGAAAGGCTTTTCCCTCCGAAGGGGTACATGCATATGCGAAAAGTTTTGCGGAGGAGTACGATGAAAAGCTTCACAGTTTTCAGAGGTTCGTCCTAAACTTGCGGCGCAACAACGGCTACCTGCTTGGGCAAATCAAGAATGCCGATCAGACGCCTCTTTACTTCGACATGCCTGGCACCACAACCGTCGAGAAGAAGGGGGCGAAGCAAGTTCACGTGCTGACATCGGTCCACGGTAAAACTACAGTGACGGCAATGCTCTGTTACACGTCAGATGGGCACAAGCTTCGCCCGTACCTCATATTTAAATGGAAGACGCTCCCGAAAGAAGTCGTTTTTTTTTTTTTTCGAGTGGTGTGATCGTGCAGGCCAGCGAGAAAAATGGGTGCGCGTTGCAATCGATGTCTTACGTTTTTTTTTTTTTCGCGGTGGAAATCGGGTGCGCGTTACAATCGAGGGCGCGGTAGAATCGAATAAATACGGTATTGCCTTATATCATTAACATCTATCACTTGCAAATTATTTGAACATATTCTGTCCTCTCAGATAGTGAAATACATGGCTGAAAATAATATTTTATTTTCTAGCCAACAAGGTTTTCAACGGGGATGCTCATGCGAGACACAACTTTTTAAAGTAACTACCAAAATTCATAACAATTTGCATGAACTAATGCCAAATGATGCAGTCTTCATTGACTTTGAAAAAGCCTTTGACAGGGTAGGTCACATGCGTTTGATACATAAAATGAGGACTTGTCGAATAGATACACAGGTTATTGATTGGTTTCGAGAGTATTTGCGTGATAGGCGCCAAGCGGTCTTGATTGAGAGTGTTCTTTTTCGATTTCAGACCTGTCATGTACGATGCATCCCAGGGTTCAGTTTTGGGACAAACCTTGTTCTTAATTTTCATTAACGATATTCACATGGGTGTAAACTCAATAATTCGTCTATTTGATGACGATTGCGTTATTTATCGTGTTGTTTCTAGCCAAAACGATTGTGAAGAACTAAATAATGACTTGCGAAAATTAGGTGAGTGGTGTCAGGACTGGCAGATGAGTATTAACATTAAGAAAGAAAACTTATGTGGTTTACTACTAGCAATCAATTAGTATTGCATGCCTACACAATAAATAATGAGACCATCAATGCAGTTGGGTCACTTAAATACTTATGTGTTTATTTAACTTCGAATTTGACCTGGAACACACACATTGACTGGTTATTGCGTAAATCAATCCAAACTCTGTTTCCTTCGACGCACACTCCGCCAAGCTAACAAAGAAACGAAATTTCTTGTCTACAACTCGTTAGTTCGATCTCAACTTGAGTACTGTTCAATTATTTGGAGCCCTTACGAATCATACTTCATTAAGAGGCTAGAATCATTACAAAACAAAGCTGCCAGGTTGATCACTTCCGATTATTCTCCCTATTCAAGTACATCTAAAATCAAACAGCCTTGACCTCACAACACTGCAATGCAGACGAAAGGTGTCTCATTTAATTTTCTTCCGTAAGTTATATCATAACCCTTCACCTTTTGCTACCTCATTGATAACGACACCAAATGCAAACTTTCCACGCTTGGATCATTCCTTTAAAGTTCGTCAACCATTCACCCGTACTGATCTACTTCGTTTTTCTGATCTCCATTTGGCTATCCAGAAGTGGAATCAACTGCCGAGATCTATTGCTGAAGAAATACAAGCTGACAAATATTCAAAAATGCTTAAACAGTTCTTATCACCACACACAATTCATTAAGAAGATCAACCACACTCTTACAAATTCTGAGACACTTTAACTTCGTCAAAGAGTATTCCAGTCCTTAACATAAATCATCTGACGTATTAGTACATATATGTCCGAATCACTGTATTGCTTTTTTGTAAATACTTCTACTTTCTGTCTGCCTTGTCCACATTTGTATGCAAATAGTGTATGAACTTTGTTCCCCAAGTGCTCTTTGTAAACATTATTTTAATAGATTTTTTTCGTATTTATGGATAATTATATGTATGTTGTCTAGCAGTTCATTTTTTTCTGAAGTATTTTTTGTTCTCTTGCATATTCTTGATGAACTGCACATGCACGTCTATATGCACTAATGATTGAACACCGCTATTTTTCCCGTTTTTATGTGAAATGTTCTGTAAAAACCTATCTTGCCCCCCCCCCCCCCCCCTATGTAATGCCTTCAGGTCTTTACGGTAAATAATATGAAAAAAAAAAAAATGAAAAATTTAGAATGCACGCCACGCTTCATAGAGATTAGATCCTGATAAAAACCAAAAACAAGGAAGCACAGACAATTCTGGAGACATTTTTCATACAGAAATAGGGTAGTAATTGTGTAAGCGAAACTTCAATCAACCTGTGGAAAATGGAACTCCAGTATCGAGAAGGTGTCCCATAGTGTGATTAGGTTGACGGTCGTGAAAACATGTTGCACATTAAGTGAATTTATATTAGCCTGTATTCCTGAACCAGTGAGCAATTGCAAGTGAGCGCCCGTCCTGTGTACGTGTTGCTTCGTCTTAAGTGTGGTCGTGACTTTGGCAGGAAACTCACTGTTGAATTCAGACATGTACCAACTAGCCCAATGGGGAGTACTACTTGTGTACAATAAAATATCAACAATGCAAACTCTAATAAGTCAACCCTTCGGCTTATTGAAACAAATTTGATTTATTCGGCTGGTTCAATGTACTTTAAAGGCACCGAATCAAAGTGCTACAGTGCACAGATTTGGTGAAATCTTACTTTTTGCTTGTCTGGGCCTTAAAAGATCTTTGAGACATCTACCTAAAAATTTGCAGTCTTCATGAATAACATCCGCAGGTAAGGCCCATTGCCTGCCTACAAAGCAGCCAAAGTAGCCAAACCACGTACACTATGTATGTTGACTGAAGAACAAAGAAAAAAGATCCGGGAAATACCTGGCCTTAGTCGATCGCATGCCAAATGTTCCTGAAGTTACCTTCATTGCAGTAAACTAATGTCATGCAAAAAAGCCCACTAAAACAAGAAAAGGTTTTGTAGCTGTCATAGGACAAGGCACATTCTGTCCCTTAATTCCATAATTGTGCAGACACTGACTGTACAGTAACGATTAGCAAAATGATTGCTGACACCTGAACAGGCCATCATGCCGTGCTGTTTATGCCGCAGCCTTGAGAAACAACAGACGTTATGACGCTAGTAGGCGTGTTGCCCCGACTTGTATTCATGAGGACCTTGGAATCCACTGAAATTTCAAAGAAAATCTTGGGTTTTCCTCCCCTTTGAATTACTGAGAGCAGCCCAACAGGTTTGCTTTCCTCGTGCTGTGTGATGAGCCCATGGCTGGAAAAATACATGTAGCCTACTTCATGGCACACAACTACCGTTCAGAGCAAAGTTTGACACAGAAAGACGCCCGTGCAGTCTTCGGACTGTTTTCTTCCTTTAGAGTAGCATGCAGCAGCTAGCCTTTTTACAAGCCTGCTGTACAGAGGGGCTAAATTAATAGGAGAAATAGTAAAAAAGAAGAAATGGCTTGTGCCACTTGCTCTCTCAATTCGTTAAAGCTTGTTACTTGTCACATGGGGGTCAGAGCTAGTCAAGCTGCTTGTCAGCTCTTTCTTCCTGCCCACCTCACCCTATTCTTGATGAAAAATAAAAGACCTATTATTGTGCCCATAAACATTTTCACCTGTCTCAGTTACAGACCACAGAGTAATTCACAAGAACTAAATTTTGTAAAACAAGCATAACATTACATCAAATACTCCCACAAAATGTTCACTGTCTGGGAACTGCAAAACGTTAAAAGGGACTGCAAAGGCGAAGCCCTCCCATAGTGAGAAAGGAATCTCCGAACTCTGTCAACAAGAACAATACTAATTGGAAAACAGTTACAGGAGCTACAGTTCATAACATTCAGATTTCTCCACAATTTGCTCATTGATCAATCTTAGCGAGACACAAGACTACAATGTAAAGTTCTTCGAATGCAAAACTGCATGCGGCCACAGAAAACAAAACTCTGGCCATGCACCACGGGCCATCTGCGACAATCGCGAAATCTCACCTAGCTTTGTGGGTGTGGCCCTGAAGCTGTCGGCCACAGAGGACACTGAACCGTGGTGAGGAGAGGCTGGGACCCTGCCGCATCGAGTGATGAGCTCCGCCTCCCGCTCGGCCAGGTGCGAGCGCAGCAAAACCACGTCCGTCTGCAACATGCAATCAGATTGCTCATTCCACATTCATTCCTCTGCTTAGACCCGAACAAACAGCCATGACAGATAATGGATTCTAGAGGTTCCTGCTCAAGTTCAGGCACACAGGGTAAAACTAGCAGTTGTTCTGTGTACAAATCATAAGCGAAGTTCTTTAGAAATGGGATGCAAATGACTATGTGCCTGATGTCACTGCTGGCTTCCATGAAGGCGGTAGTGTGGAGCAACGTTTTTAGAACCATTACAGTTTCACAGCTCCACTTGCTAGCCAGCACATGTGGCTGACACGTGAACGTTGTGGGGGAGCATGCGCGCCCAGCCTTCCTTTCGCTTTTTACAGCAGCACGAAAGCCCTGTTGCGAAAATACCCGCACAGCCGGTGCTCGCGCTTCCTTTCCTGGCACGTAGAACGGGTCTCCCCTCCTTCAGCGTGAAAAGGTAATATTCTCATAAGGAAGAGGAAAACCGGGGCAGGAGACAAAACTAGTGTGCGGATGGCCGCACGGGCTCTCTGACACCGGCCAGAAACCAAGAAGATCGGACCTGCAACCCCCCTGCGAGCCGAGGACGTCAACGACGAAGGAGTAAGCGTCTGCTCTTGTTTCTGTACTATCTCCTCGCGACATTGCGTGCTATTACTAATGCCTAACAATAAAGTGTCGTTTTGCTGACCTAGCCTATTGCCTTATTCGCCCGACCCGGTGTAGCTGCAATGAGACGAGCTACGAATAGGGGACGTTAATCGTGCACGGTACGACTGTGTGCGGCTGAAACATTAGTTAGGCTTCTGCGCCAGCCGTACATAGTACGGACCCCCTACATCTGGCGCCCAGCGTAATGAATTTGGCAACCTGGCTAGTTTGTGGACGCGAGCTACGACCGATGCTCCCCCACACGTGGTATACAGGCATGTGGGAATTCCAAGATTTGTCAATGTTGTCTGATGTCGCGTCACATAGTGGCGATCCTTTGGCTAACGCGGGGGCACTGTTAGGACTTTTCGACAGCGTAGATTTTGGTCGTTTCACGCGGGATGATCAGGATGGTGCAGAGACTGCGTTAGTAGAGATTAGGCCTATGACGGAAAACCTCACACATGGCGCTCCGGCATCTCGCGACCCGAACAAAGAGGTTCCGCCACAAGTTGCTCCAACACGGGCCGCAACTGTAGGCGAGTCTGCGAGCAGCAGTTTGCCCACAAGCAAGGTACTCTTACAGAATGCACTGTCAGTTATGCAGAGCCTCGTGAGCGCCCTGCAGAACACAGCGCAGGCCCCCGTGCACACTGTGCGACCACATGTCAAGGTAGGCATACCTACCTACACGGGTTACCACGACTGCAAAAGTGCCAACGAGTATCTCGATTGGTTGCTCCATTATCAGCAGGCGACAGGGCTTTCTGACGCAGAACTTCCCGAGCGTGTGGTCCCGGTGACGCTCACGGAGCAAGCGGCTCGGTGGTTCCGACTAATCGGACATCGCATACGCACGTTAGAAGAGTTCCGCGACAGCTTGCGTGGCAAGCTCCTACCGGCTAATTATGAGTGGCGCTTGCGGAGGAAATTGGAGCTATGCACCCAGCATCCGAACGAATCCTTGCTGGAGCATATACGGGCAATGGACGAACTGTATCGTCTCACTAACCCTCATGCCACCAATGCGGAAAAAGTCGAGCGCGTTACGCGTCAAGTGCACCCAACTTTTGCGGCGCACTTCAGGATATGCAAGTTCGCAGACCTAGAAGAGCTCGCCACCGAGGCGGAGCACGTACAAGGGGACATCTTCGCTGTGCGATAGTATCACCCACCTCCGCCCACAGCGCAGTCAATCGAGCCTCGCTGTGCGTGGAATGGCGGCACAGTAGTTTCAGAAAAGTTTAGAGGTAACGTGTCGGCATTGTTCGCTGATGAGCAGCTACCACGCGGTTGGGAGCTGTCAAACCGCACTTTGGACCCCTATGCTTACGCGCTCCGCACAGCCCGCGCCGTCCCCGCGCATGACTTTCCAAGGCAGGAGCACGCGATCGACACAAGGCCTAACGAGCTGCGCAACCAAGAGCAAGGTCCACCTAATCGAGGCGACTTACAAGAGGGCCACCGTGGTGTCCACGATCCTTGCTATCGGTGCGGCGTGCCGGGGCACATCGCTTGCGAATGCGACCGCACACCAGGTCAGGAGCAAACGCGCGGTTCGGGAAGCAGACGGCGCCACCGATGATCTCATCTGGCCCCGCGCGGCGATCAGTAATTCCATCGATGCGTTCGGATCACTTGTACCGTCAGTCTGTTGCACAGGTGAGGCCGTAGACTCGCCCGCGCCACTAATCGAGTTAACAGCAACTCGAAAGAAGTTTGTAGCACTTTTCGATACTGCGGCAAGCGCTTCTTTGTTCGGCAACGACGTGTTGCATCATCTCCGCGAGAACAATATTCGCTTGAGACAAAGCAACACCATTTTCCGCCTTGCTACCGGCACAGCACAATCGAGCGGCGCGGCTAAGCTTGTGATCCGCTGGGATAAATGCGTGAGGCAACAGCGTTTCGTGCATCTTCCTGGACTGTCAATGTCTCTAATCCTGGGCCAAGACTTTCTTGCCAAGTCGGGTATTGTAATTGACATTCCAAACGGCGGTTACCGCGAGCGCGATGGAGACGCACTAAAGCTTTTCTCGAAGGCCCCCGCATTGACAAAGGCATGCCTATTGCAGGGAAAGGCCCGAGTATGTGAGGAGGAAAGCAGGCCGAGAAAGCGAGTAACCACCCCCCCACCCCCCCGGAACAATGTGCTGCGCTGCAGGGAAAGGCAGTGCACCCGCTTTTGGTAGAGGCACAGAGCCCACTAGAAGGGAAAGGAGCGCAGCTGTCGTCGCTGTTGTACGAGTATGACGCAATGTTTACTGACCGCCCCGGCCGCACTACGCTGGTCAAAAATAGAATTGACACGGGTGATGCACAACCTTGGAAATGCAACCCCCACCAATCAGCTTAGCTATGCAGTAAGCACTTGACGCCGCCTTAGACGAACTCACCGACACAGGCGTAGTTGAGAGGTCAAACAACCCATGGGGTTTCCCGGTAGTTCTAGTTTCAAAGAAAGATGATAAGTATCGCCTTTGTGTAGGCTACCGCAGGCTGAATGAGGTAACGAAGAAGGACGCGTACCCCCTTCCCTCCATTTCATCGCTGGTATCCAACCGAGGCGGGGAGAAGTACTTCACTGCGCTCGATGCTAGCCATGGATATTTTCAGGTTGAGATGGACGAGCAGGATAAAGAGAAGTCAGCATTCATGTACCACAGGGGACTTTTCCAATTCAGGAGAATGTCTTTCAGCTTGGTGGGTGCTCCCGCGACGTATCAGATGCTAATGGACCCTGTTTTGGGAGATGCACAGTGGCAGCACGCACTCGCATATCTAGACAACATAGTAGTTTACTCGAAAACGTTCGAAGAGCACTTGCGCCACTCGAGAGACGTTCTAGAAAGGCTGAGGTCTGTGGGCATCACCCTGAATCCAAACAAAGCTCAGATAGTGGCGACCCGAATAACATATTGGGATTTATGCTTGACGAGGGTCGCATTTTGCCAGATAAGGGTGAGCTTGAAGCGATAGTCAGCTATTTATCGCCGAACAATATCGGTGAGCTCAGGTGTTTTATGAGGATGGTGAACTTTTATCGCGAATTCATTCCAGACTGTGCGGCAGTGCAGGCGCCTTTGACGAAACTCTTGAAGAAAGGCGAGCGTTGGGCTTGGAGCCAAGAGCAGGAGGCCGCATTGTGTCGCCTCACGAAGTTGCTAGCCAACACGACTCAGCTGCAGCTACCCGATTCAAACAGGAAGTTCGTGATTCACACAGATGCAAGTGACCTGGGCTTAGGAGCAATTCTGCTTCAGGATCATGGGGGTTCCCTCCGACCGATTGCGCTCGCGAGCCGTACGTTGACGCCGAAGGAGAGGAACTACTCGGTAACCGAGAAAGAGTGTGTGGCGATAGCTTTTGCTCTCCGTAAGTGTGACTTTTACATAGACGAAGTTGCGTTCGTGATTGAGACTGACCACATGCCGCTCACGTGGTTGAGGTGCTTGAACGAACCGAGTGGCCGCCTGGTGCGTTGGGCATTGCTACTGCAGCATTACGACTTCCCCGTTCGTTACCGCAAGGGTAAGAACAATGCCACAGCTGACGCACTATCGCATGCTCGAGTCCGACACGAGGCAAGTCAACCGACTAGTTCGGAACGTACTGAGAGCGACACACTCGCGCTAACGCAAACAGCGGAGCAAACATTAGTTCGGTATAAGAGCGTGAACCACGTAGAGGCTGTCGTTAGCGCAGGGATTGTTTTCAGCAGAAGAGAAGTGTTAGAAGCACAGCAGAAAGATCCATTTTGTCGAAAGGTGTTCGACGGGCTCCGGGAGCCAAGTGGTAGTGAGGCCATTGTGCACAAGGGGGCAGCTGGTATTGCTGTCGGTGCGGAGCGCTCGGCAACAGCTGGTAGTGCTGTGAGCGCGCTGGATTCTTATCTGCTGGATTCTGACGGCATCCTGCTGAGGTACATCCCACCCGACGATGACACAAGTGAGTCATTCAAAGTCGTGATACCGTGCACGTTGAGAGGAGCAGTTCTTCGCTAGTTTCGTGACTCGTGCATTGCTGGGCATGCGAGCGGCCCTAGGACTTACGCTAAGTTGTGTCGCCTCGCTACTTGGCCAGGTGTGAAGGAAGATGTGATTCACTATGCCCGTTGATGACGTGCGTGCCAAAGCGTAAAGCCACGAGGCGAACATCCACTCGGCTTCATGCAACCGATTAACAGTCAGATTGCCTGGCAAATCGCGGCATGTGACGTAATGGGCCCGTACCCAACTCCTAGCAGAAACAAGTTCTTGCTGGTGATCATGGATCACTTCACTAAATGGGTGCAGAATGGCACAATCCACTTTTTCTTGTAGTTTCATACTATAATACAGTCGACTCCTGATAATTAGAAGTCACTTAATTGAAACTTCTGGTTAATTGAAAGTCATAAAGTGGTCCCATCAATTTTGCACGCATGCCTAAATGCTTGATAATTCCAAGTTAAACGCCTATAGTAATGATTAATTAGAAGTTGTTTCAGTCGAGAGCCTTGAGGTGACCGTAATTTTTCAATACAATGGGGAATTTTTCATATGTCAAGGCTGCCGAAACAGCTGTCGAACCACGCTGCAGTCGCCATAGCCAGTGCCTGCAGCACCATGATTCATGAAGCGGCCATCTTGTTTATTCAATGCCGGGGCATCGCATTGATCACATCGGCTAACTAGGTCTTTGTTGTGATGTATCGAGTTGTTCATCCACACTCTGGGTTCAAGTCTGGTTGAACTTAGAACAGCGGGACTGCATGTTGGCGGAAAAGAACGCTTGAACAAACAAACACACAGCATGGTGTGTGTGTTCGCACATTCTGCTGCATTTGCGTCCAGTCGGGCTGTTCAAACATGACATGATAAACAAACTAGCCCGCCAACGTGCTGTGGGTTCCGCACGTGTTTCCACAGCTGATTTTGAGTGTTGTGGTGACGACGTTTGATAATGGTAACTTACGGCCCTACTAAATGCATGACCTGACGACGAAAGTTTAGTCCTGAAGAAGTTGACCAGGGAGGCGCTGCTAAGCAAGACACCACACGAAAGTACGGCGTGAAGCATAACTCGATCAAGTGAAAACAGGTGAACTCAACAAGGTAATTTTGGGGTCATTTTTAGTAATGTCCATTTTGAAAAATTTGTTGCCGTGGAAAACGACATCGATACATGCGGTCCACTAACGAGCAGAAAAATTGTGCAGATGGTTTGGCTAGAGGACGACGACACAAAAATGAACCGCCACCGAGGACTACAGATGCTGCTGTGGGTCTTGCTCATGCGCTGCAGTTTTTAAGTTTTGTAGAAGAAGACAATATTGAAGAAGCAGAAAAATAGCTAGTTGGGCAAGTTGGAACTGCTCCATAATGTACTGTGCAAAAAACGGCTGGAAACACAAAGTAGAGAAAAAGGACAGACAAGCGCAGACTATCAACTGAAGATTCATTGCAAGACCGAGCCAACATATAAAGGAAAGGATAAAAAGCAAGCGAGGACAAAGGGGGAGGAGAAAAAGGCACGAGGGACCAAATAAACAAAACCGAGGGCGCATTAGGAACAGCACAAACGTCATGCAGCACCTAGAAAGCTCAACTCCTTATCATGTATGGCCACAGAGGGAACACTGACACATGACTCAAAAATCTTGTGAATATGCGCAGCCTCAATAAGTACACGCACTCTTTGGTTTTTATGCCGGAACAACACAGAAGGATCACCATACAGCAGCACGCAGCTGCATTCCCAACAGTGGGCTGCTAAATCAAGGCCGGAGTGGCCTTTCAGAGAATTAAAATGTTCTCTAAGTGTAACGTATAGAAAGCGACCTGTCTGACCCACGTATACAGGATTGCATGACAAGGGTATGGAGTAGACAACACCGGTGATACATGATACGTAATTATGAATATGACTAACATTGTTACATAATTATGAATATGACTAACATTGCATATATATGTTGCTGTCCATATATCTGATTGGCAACATGTCTATCTACTTTGGCCCATAAAGCTCCAATGTCGCAGCAAATCAAGAGACCTTAGCAGCTTTCAGCCTCTTTGAACAACAAACGCCCTGCTTCAATGCCTTGCACTGCATCCCAACACTCACGCTGCGCAAATAACGAAACTGAATCTGCATAAAAAGATTCATAGACAGTTTGCTAACTAACGCTGTTCAATCCGAAGCCAGTACTTCACACCATTCTCACGCGGGTACAATGACCACAGCACCAGGTTGCTCTCTAGGTATTATTGTAAGAAACTGTAAGATCCCTTTGATATGCCTGCGCTGACCTCTGGTGTTTTTGTAGGGTTTCGAAGGGGCTGGAAGATTTGGCACTGCTGGAACGAAGGCCTCCCAGAGCAAGAGTCATTTCGCAACTTTCCCATTAGGGAAGGATGCATGTGCCGCGGAATCATAAAAAAGGTGGATTGACGCAGCCCCTCCACCTCTGAGCATGACGATGACAAATTTGGCAGAGCAGGGGGCTGCGTTATTGGGCAGTAAGTCTGATAATTCAGACGACAAAGGTTTTCAGTATCGGAAACTTTGAATGTTCTTGTATGTTGACATCTACAATGATGATTTTGAACTCTGGACTCGAAGCGAGCACATCTTCTTCAGATTAGAAGGGCCTCCACAGATGTTGAAGGAGGAGGAAAGGTTGAAGAAATAGCATTTTTGCCTATTATGCGTAAAGTGTTGTTGGCAACACTTTGGTTGCACCAAATTATGTGTAATACAATTTGAAATGCGAAATAGACTATGAAATACCATCCTGCAAGCTCTTCATCAACTTAGCGAAAAAAAAAACACTTTCATGCTGCTATATTTCATAAAAATATACTTAGTAATACCATTCTACTTTCCTCCCCTGCAATTTCACTTTAAAATATTTGGAAAATATTCTCGAAATAGTCCAAAAATATTCTATATTAAAAAATATTCTATTCGAATTCCCTTCGCACCCAAAATTTTGCTATCCACACAGCTCTAGAAATTATCCTTGCTGAATTTTTCGGTATCAGTAGACTCAATTAACATTTCATTCGGGAGGATCTAAGTTGCAAGCTTATTGAAAATGTGATCAAATAAAATTTTGACAGGTATATTGTTCATACCTCAGTTGTATGGCTCAAATAAAAGCTGAGGTTGTGTTTGACATGAGCACATGAAAAATAATAAACACCCAAATTTTTTCCACCGACTTGAATAATAAAAGCACCTAGTGTCTAAAAGCCGCTGCCCATTCTTAGAGTTTATTTACATATAATTAGCATCGGTAAACTTGTTTCTTTAATGTGTGTAAGGACCGTTGATATTACATAACTTCTAGAGTAAAGGTGCTAGTGTGGGAGTACAAAGATCCCCAAAACTTGGACCTACTGCTGCGCTACAGACTTCAATGCAGCGATTAAAATTTCAGGACAGGAATGTGTGTGTTGTGGTTCGTGAAATCACATGAAAACATGTGCAACAGGCACATGTTTGATAACCTCAGTGAAAGATACATCACAGTCAACATGCTCCAACTGCCATAGCAGAAGTTGTAAAACTGGAGCCTTCACATGGTGTTCAACTTATTTCCTAGTTAAAACCGTACGTCAAAAACAGCATGTTTACAAGAGCTACCCCATTGTCAACTTGGCAATACCAAGTTGTAGTGAGGCTAGACTATAAATTTAAAAAAGAGACCATTTATCATGGAATATAATGTTTGTGGCAAGGGCTCTCTCGTGATGAAGACAAGCTCACCTCAAGTTTCTTGACCTTGCTCTCAAGCTCGGATTTCTCACGTTCAGCTGTGACAAGCTTGAGTTTGAGGGCAGGCACATCTGACAGTAGCTCAAGCCGGTCATTTTCGATCTTCTTCTTCAGCGTCATCTCCTACAAAAGCGAAGACGGTGCGCACTATCATGTCATGGCCAAGCACTAGTGCACATGCACGAGTGACTTCTCATTTCGCTTCTTTTCTACTTTCTGAAAATCTTTATCAAACAGAGAAAATCATTCCATGTTCACAATTTTTGTAAGCTAGCTACCATTTTACACCCTGTGATAAGCTATGATGGATAAGCAAATAAAGCTTTGTTGAGAAGTTTGCTCGCTTAAAGCCTGCACCAGTTTCGAGAGAATTTCTGTTCCCAAACTAATTTATGAACAGTTGTCTGCTATGACTTTTTAAGTAATGCATAGTTATAACTACTAAAGCTTAACAATGAAAAAGCACAAAAACAACAGTCGCACCTGTGTACAGAAATTAGACACCAGCGTGTACACTTGAGGCTTCCTCCTGTCAGAACATACACAGCTCACTCATGTCTCTACAAAAAACCCAATATTAGTGTCTACAAAATGGATGCTGTCCTAGAAAACACTTCTGCATCATGCTACAATGCAATGCCAGTTTGCAATCCGTTACAGCCACACGAACAATTCTTCTCTGATGACTTATTTCGCGATACAACAAGCTTTCAATGGCAAAAATGAGAGGCTACTTCTTTGAACGTGACTGGTTTGCTCAGAACACGTGACCACATCCCTAAAAAATAGTCTACTACATCTAACAACTGTAAACTTAAATTCACTGGCAGCTCAAAAGTAAAATTCAGTTTCTTAGTGATGGATTTAAAAATATGAACAATGTTACCTGCGACCTCCGCTACTACTATTTGCTTTTGTCAACGGCACTGTACTTTGCCGTTTTAATTTGTACAGTGATGCTGCCGAGGTCTTCTGATTAGGAACAATTTTTAGAGCAGAAAAATTTTCACTTTGGAGCACTTTGAAGCAGCAAAATTTTTCAATTAGGAGCTCTTTGGAGCAGGTAAGTTTAAATCTGGGAGCACTCCACAGAAGCTAACTTCACATGCCGTACAGTGGAGAAGCGAGTGGCATTCAGATTCAAGAACATGAATAATTATTTCAGGACTCTAGTGAAGAGTCAGAAAAATTTCGATTCATTGCGAATACCATGAAGCCAATAATCTTAGGAGCACTCCCTATTTCACTCAATGATGCAAAGATATTGGCGTAATGGCCCCGCCGTGGCACTCTGGTGGCTAAGGTACTCAGCTGCTGACCCACAGGTCGCGAGACCAAATCCAGGCTGCAGTGACTAAATTTTCGGAGGAGGCGAAAATACAGTAGGCCCGTGTGCTCAGATTTGGGTGCATGTTGAAGAACCCCAGGTGGTCGAAATTTCCGGAGCCCTCTACTACGACGTCTCTTATAATCATATGATGGTTTTGGGACGGACTTTAAACCTCTCATATCAGATATTGGCGTCATGCTACTGATCATAAACGTGTGCAGGGTTTGCAGCAAGCCTTTTGAGCGTGCAATAAGTGCGTGGACCTTTCAAGTAACAACCTCACCGCTAGTGCTCCTCGCAGATGATGTCAAATTCCATCTTTCGAACACGATATTGCATAACTCAACAGGGTGCTGCTTACACGAACTACACCAACTATAGCCACTCCAGGTGCTGATGCGGTTTCCGTGTTGTCAGTTATCTAAATGTGAGACAGACAATAATAGCACAGAATCTTTACGAGCAGTCTCATGATGCCTGGAGATTCCCACCCCTGAAACAAAGCAACATGAAGTAATGAATGCGATACCACAATGTTTATTTTTTAACCTTCAGCTACTGGCCATGGAAAGCAAGAGGTAGGCGCGTAACATGGCGCTGTCACTTCACAGTATGCCTTCCAACACCATGACTGTGAGTGATGGGCCCACTACTAAAAGCTGTGCGTATTAAAACCAAATTGCGGTTGCTCTGATCAGGACACATTCTTTTAGTAATGCGATGACATCTTTTAAAAAGAACGCGAAAAATTCCAATTTGAACCCTAGCACCTACGAGCTCCAAAAAGTAAGGTCTTTCAGTTCCATTTACCGCAAGAGTGATTACAAATGCGGATTTGCTGATGGGAAAAATCAGGATAAACCTCTTCTAGATAAAGATTTATGCATTAAGTAAATTTCAGGAAAAGTCTTGACGCATTCCCATCGTTCACGTGTTCTTCTGCAAAGGTGAGGCATGGAACATTAGATCACGATGTCCAGAAATAGACTATCAGGCGGCACGCATGCAGTTATTAGTGAAAATTGCTTTAGTTACATGCAGTGCGACTCTTCAAGCTATTAGCAGCGTTCCTGAAACGAAATGATGCGCCGCCACAATTACATGCTACGAATTGGAATACACGTCATGAGCCCCTAGCTGTGAATAGTGAATTTTGGCATTGAGCCAATAAGCACAACAGAAGTTTAGGGGTTGGACAGGGTACATGGGTTTGGAAGCTGTCTGGGGAGCAGGCAAGAATGCCTCTTGTAGCAAGCTTGTAGCAGCCAGAAAGACATTTTGAAGCAGGCTTGTAGCAACCGAAAAAGTCCTTTCGAGCAAGTTTAGAGCAGTAGGAACATTCAGAGCAGGTATAGCCCCGCTCGAAGCACTTGCGAAACAACAATTTTTCAATGCTGCATCTTTAAAACACTCAACTGAATAATTCTAAGTGCGTAGTTGTGACTTTAGTGGCCCTGAGAATAAGCTGCGCATGTTTTTACGTGCCGCTACGGCTATTGCTGGTGACAAACACTTCTGAATCCAACTTCACCACAGTTTGGTGAAATTTTCGTTAATATTATCTGGATGACGTCTCAAATCTGATTTGGCACAGTTGGCGCAGGAGTGGAATCGGAGGTCGTACCAATTAGTTCCCCAACGCACTTTACTCGAGTTCATTTCCTCTATGTGGGGCTCTGTTTCGTGTTTCCTTCCCTTCGAAAAACAATGTTCGTGGTGCATAAGGTTCATTTCTGCTGTGGCATGTGAGGTCAGGTATCTTGGGTACTGCCTGAGGAAAGGTCTGCGTACTCCGGTTATGTCAAGACTGTTCAGGGTATTCAGGTGCTCCATGGGACATTGGAAGAGAAACAATATGATTATTTCATGGTGAAATGTCTATAGCGCGAGTCATGCCGAGCCTCAAAAAATATAAATGTAATAACTCCTATGCAAGATGCTTGCTTTGTGAAAATAGATTAGAAGCCTATTTCTTAGTCTCTATGCACATCAAGTAAGACATTGTTTTTCAGTTAAATGAATCGTGTTATGATCACAATGACTTTGCATTTCTTCTGGAGGACCAAGCTCACTCTGAAGCTTTTGCAGATGTTGGCTGAGCTATTGACTTATGCTTCAAGTAACTGCTCAGTAAAACAATACTTCGATAAACCTCAGGTATTTCGACAAAGTCGAATGCCTTCTAGGAGCTTGCTGCTTTTGCCTATGTCGGTGGACAGCGTGCACACAAGTATTGCCTGTAGACTTCGACGATCGCACTGAAGGTCGCCTCTCCGGTGATTCCAACAATGCTCACAAGATGGCGCACCGCCACCCAAGGCATCTGTTTTTGATGGCCTGCACGCACGCCTCCTTAAAATAGAATTGAAAGAAAGGATAGTGAAGAAAAAAGTGTGTTGTCATAACTGTCTCTCTCGCAGGAGGTTACAAAATGCTACATGGGGTATGGGTAGTGGGGGAGAAAAGAATGTGAAAGAAAGGTAAAGAGGACAATGTCAGTGGTGTTTAGTCTGGCTATGTGTGAACACGCGCACCTCCGAGTCGGAAGGAGAGAAAAAAGAAAGTCAGGCCCAACATCGTTGCTTCGTAAGCACGGCAGCACGTGACAAGTTTTTACGATGAGTGTTACGCACGGGTAACAATATCCTGCTACCCCCTCACCTGCCTGCTCTCCACACCGTCGAAGAGCGTCCGATAGATTCATGTCAGCTGTTTACAAGCGTTAGGCATTTGAGTTGAGGTGGCGGCAAGTATGGCAAAAAAGGGCAGGTGGTTAACGTGCCGATGAACATGGCCAAGACCAGTGGCGGCCACGGAGCATGCCCGACAACAATGCCTTCGACAAACACATCTTGCGCTGGCTCGTTAACAGGCCTTCCTACAGAAATGATCTTGCCAAACAATGCCCTGTGCACCTCCGAGCAAGCTCCTCAAGCATCAATCATTTTGTGGATGTGGCAGTGACGTTTTTTTTTGTAATTTATGAAGGTAACATAAAGGCGTCTGTTGTATGATACTGATTTCTCAGTTACATGGTGAATTAAATTACTCAGAAGAGATTATGTAACCTGGCAGAAACAGTTGACAGAACATGAATTTCTTCTAAAATGCTTATTTCCCCTCTGCATGAGACTTTTAATCTATCGGGTGCCATAATTACTCAAATGTAATGCACGCCTTTTTTTTTTCTAGAATTTTTCTAATTGAAGTTCGCTCTTGCATTACAATCGAATACTGAAATTAACGAAATGCAAGTTTTCTAAAAAGTGCAATAAAGCACACAATTCTTATATTTTTGTTTTATTTTTTCTCTCCTGGATCCAATGAAAAGTTCCCCCTCGCATAACAGTCAAGCAAGTATGGCAACTTTGTAAGTCGCAAAAACTACTACGTGCTGGAACATTTAAATAGAGGCTATGTTTTCAGACAAAGTAAAATAGCTTTGCCAGAAATTTCACGTCTTGTTAACTTTTGCTGCATATTAAAGAGGTTTACGGCATGAACACTGCAATGTCTGACAGCTATTTCAGACATAGCTGTGCTGATTGAAAAAAAGCAAAAGGACATGTGTCTGCTTTGTTTTTCTGACTAAAGGTTTTTTTCAAATGATCTTAAAATCCCCAGATGTCCAAAAACTTTGGAGCTTTACTGTATAAGGAAGCGTCTTCTTTTTTAGTTTTTGGCTTTCATAAAGACATGGTAACTGTGATAAAATGACCTATGACAGCTGCCAATAAAAAGACCAATGACAGAAGGAGACCGCTCCTGACCTGCTTGAGCAGCTGCTCAGTCCGTTCAAGCAGGAGCTTCTTGTCCAGCAGAGATGACTCCAGCTCAGCTATCTTGTCCTTCTGCAGCTCCAGCTGGTCACTCAGCACACTCACCTGAAAGTCAAAAGGTTTTGTTCTCATGTCACAAACTGAAAACATTTGCCTAGCACAATGCTTCTCTGAAACTATAACCTGTCATCACTGATTCTTCACAAAGCCAAAGCACGATCGCTGCCCACTGCAGTGACTGTTCCACCGTCAATATATAAGCTAGAATCACTTGGCATCATCAAGTGGCCACTTCAGGTTTTCTATTTTGACACCAGGCAAGCGTGTCACCCTCAGCAGAGCCACCTACACTTTGTTGAAAGAAAATGAGTGCTGAACTTATGGTGCTAAGAATTTTAATTTATAGTCATACAAAAGTCCACTGCAGAAGTGATTTGATAGTTTTATAAATTGCTGCATAACGTACTACTTGCGTTAAGAGCAACTTTTTTTCTTCATTATATTAACAATGCATTTTGCCTGTACCTTTTGGTCTAATTTTTTCCTAACTAAAAGTATGAAATTGGCTGTATTGCACTGCGCCCCCAACCACTCAAAACACAGATACAGTCCTTCTCATAAGAGATCTGTTCATATCTTTGGGCACAGTGAACCACTTGAATACTCATACTGCTCTCCGAGCCCTCTATTGCTTGCACAAGGCATAAATCACCTTCAGTAATCTTAAATCTATCTCGGTGGCCTTGCATTCAAGTAATACCACACAAAACCAAAGATTTACTGATCTAGAAAACGGCATCTGGGCACCAAATTCCACTACAGCTTCTAAGTTAAATGTCATTTCTCTCAAAGTTTTTCTCTTAATATATGCTGTGCTATGGGGTAAGTGCCAACACATAGAGTGCGTGCAGCATCCTAGAAGCTCTAAGTACCTGCAGGGCTAGATTTTCTTTCTCCGCTTCCAAGTGCGACATTTTATCCTGCAAATCACCATAGTCACCTGACACTGGTGTCTGAAAAGAGAAAAAAAAAAAAAAAACAGCAGCAAATGAGAGATAAGAGAGGTACCACTGTGACAGCGATGTTATCACATCAGTACAAATGCTCTAATTTTTCAATTTTTTTTTTTACTCTACAGCTCATTGTATGCAAAACAGAGCCTAGAATGCAGTCTTCCACTCAAAGGAGCCACGGTTCACCAGAATTCCACACAATTAACCTGCACCACAAGCGTATCTGATGCAATGCCCTTCTGCAGACATCAATTCTTCAAATGCTCTGTCATATCTTTTTTTTTTACAATTCTTCACTTAAGTTTCAAACAAGAAGTCCAGTTTTGGAATTCCAGTTTTGCACATTTCTACATTGCATGATACTGTGCTTCTTTGGAAATTCATGCGATTCACAGCTGCTCTTGCTGACAGGAGTGAAAGTGCAGCCAAGCTGTATTGCAGCAGGTTTTTGCTCTGCCTTTAATGCTATACACTGGTCATGAAATTAGCTTGTATCATAAAGTAAAGATCACACAATTTGATTAGTTGATTACACAAAGCACACGAGATCGCACACAAGTGTGATACTAGCAATTCATCACTCGCCCATTCTTGCGACTCTCAAACAATGGACAGGATGTTTCATAAATAGAATAACAATCAACTATAAAGAAAGAAGACAATGTGCGGGAAATCGTTGATGCAATTCTTTTACATGGTCATGATGAGTACATCAAGTGTACACAAACACGATACTGTATTTCATTATGCAACACCTCCCCTCAAGAAAAAATCACAGCATACCCATGGAGTGAATGATGATAAGCGGGTAAAGCTTCTGAGGAAAAATTATCGGTAAAACAGTGACTCTTCAGTGAAAATTTGCCCACAACATCATTAAGAAAGACGTCAGAAACAGTGTCTCTATACACATCGAGATCTTCGTGGCGACATCATGCAGCTTCGACCTCGCAGACTCTTCACACAGGGATTCTGACTGCGAGCATGCACTGCCGCCACTTTCCGTGCCCTCCACTTCACAGCTTTGTCTTCCGTACTGCGCAGTGCTTCGAGCAAAAGAGGAGGTGCGCTCCCTTCGAACTTCATCGAAACATCTCGAACAATCGAATCCATCCATCTAGTGATCGCTCACCACACTATGCGCTCCCATACAACTGAATGGAGTGAGCATTTCCGTACCACCTCGTTTTTTTATTCATAAACTATACTATGCTAGCGCCTTCTAGCGACATCCTATGCAATTTTATCCTACCATGTATCTCTATGGAGCGAGTGCCACCAATGCCATCTAGTGAGCACTTCACGATTTAAATGAGATGGCTACAGCAACGATCTACTGAGAATGGAACGAACCACGGCGAAAGGAGCTTCGCCCCTAAAACTCACAGGGTCTCTTACGCATTGACTATATTTAAAAGTGAAAGTTATCAACTTTTTCATACCAGTCTATGTATCGATCCTGCTATGCCGCCCTTCGAAAGCTTCCTGTGCCTAACGTGGTTCTACACTTATCTGGTTTTTCATTGCCTCCATGACAAAAATACGTTTGACTAAGCTACGACACCATGAGATGACATCAGCATGACACCACAAACCTTAGTATTTGAGACATCATCATGACATGAGATGATTATTTGCACCACGGGATGCCAACAGCTGCCGATATAGGACGACACTGAAATTTTGCATTTCATGAGGTATCTAAAGATTTTGCCGGAGAACCAATTCAATCAATCCTTTATTTGCAGGCATCAGATACAAAAATACCAAGACTGGTTGAACCCATAGCCAAAGGCTAGTAGAGGGTCCAATAAAAAATAAAAAATCAGATTTCCATGTACAAGAGGAAGATGCAAAAAAGTGTACAGATATAAACATTATACATTTTAAATTAAACAAACCTACAAAGAAAAACAAATGTATCGGTAATCGCAGAGTTACAATGTCCGGTAAACATGTAAAAACAGTAAAACAATGTAATTTCATGCATTTTTACACAAAGTTAAAAATTACATGTTTAACCTAGGGGAAAACTGGTTTTAACAGGTTTCAGCAAACTACTAGCAAGCAAAAAAAAAAAAAATGACATCCTGACTGATTGTTCACATCGAATCAACATCGCTCAGACTAAGCAAGTATTTTTTAAGCACAGTTGAAAAATTTTCTGTTTGTTTTATTTTTGCTGGTAGTTTATTCGACTTTTGCTCCTTAAATCTGCAGCAAATATTGCCCTTGTGTAATTCTCATTGGGGAGAGAATAAAATTTTCGTGTGCTTGATCTCTAGTCACACGAGAGGATGCGCAAAATAAAGAAATATGAAATAGTAGGTTGTTTTTAACTATACTGAAAACTTACGTGGCGATTTTCAATTAATTTATTTTATCATAGGGAAGATATTCATTTTTATAAACAGAGGTAAACTAGGTTGATCATGACGCGAGTTGGTGATTATTCGGAGTGCTCGTTTCTGAAGCTTACGTACAGGTTCAAGATAAGTTTTGAACGTCGCACCCCACGATTCATTACAACTTGTGATATGGCTGTAGATGAGTGTTAGATATAAAATACGTAATGTGTTAAAATCGAAATGACGACCCCTTTGTGAAAGCGCATAGTAACCCGAAACAAGCTTTGCGCGAACAGTGTTTATTTGCCTAGGGCAAATTATTTTCAAATGTTACCCCAAAATATTTAAACATGCTGGATTCGTCTGTTGGAAATTAATCTATTCGTAAATCTAGTCATTCAGCACTAACCATACTTTGACGAAAATGTAACTAAGGCAAGCCAAACTTAGAAGGCGTGTTGATAAATCAGACCCCTCACTCATGGGTTGATCTACTCAAAACCATTATAATTCAGACTCGGTCAAATTTATGCTCAGTATGGTTCATAAGGTTTACTGAGATTTACAAGTCTGTTTCAGTCTGAGAAAGCCATATAGGGTAGGACAACTAAATATCATTACGCCTGAGTCAGATGGGTCACCAATCAAGAAATGCAATCTGTGGGTAAATTTGAGCGAGTTCTATTGACTCTGCAGACCTCTGCTGACATTTCACATTTTTGTTATGCTTAATGTTAATGAGTTTGCATTGCAAAAATGCGCTTACTTGAATTTTCAAGCTTTCTAGGGAAAGCTTGAAACGGGCACTATAAAAATTGAATTCACACTTCCTTACTTCACTCAAGCAGTAAGATTACCACAGCTATGTCTGAAGTATTTCTAAGAGCCTTGCAGTGCAATTATCTCTTAATTTTGTGTTCATATACACTATACAGTGGAACCCCTTTATAAGAGACCAATAGGTATAAAAGACACCAGAGAGCCAACAGTAAAATACGGGTCGATAAGAAAATACGGGATGATGACGTGCTGGTCAGGACATAAATAATGCCCGCATCCTCGCGAGCATCAGCACTTCTGGTGTTGCTAATACGCATGTTCCAGTTGGCATCGTTGCGAAAGTGCAACCAACTGGTTATATAAACAACTGCAACTCTTCACCATATGTCTGCGCGTGTAACATTTGTACATATCTTTCGTGTCATTTCATGACGTGCCGATCATTCCCACGTACGTGGGATCTGCCGAATTTTCGTTCACTGCATTTAACTATTATGTGGTAAGGTTTACATGGGGCTCAGATATGCCTTCGAAAGCACTATAGTTCTTTAAAGGGTTTGCCGTTGTGCCATTTGTCTGCCCACAATGCCAACTGCAGTTGCGGCCCATAATTTTGCCGCAGACCATTGCTTACAGACGCATGATATGTCACATAAAAGAAATAGCTAAAGCTTTTGCTATCTGTAAAAATGGTGATGATTGTGTTATTGCACCATCGATTGCATTACTTGATTGCAAGCTGATGTACAGCAGCAAGCACAGGACCGACTTGACTGGCGGAACATGGGAGAGGCCTTTGTCCTGCAGTGGACGTAGTCAGGCTGCTGCTGCTGCTGCTGCTGATGATGATGATGATGTACTTGGAGAAGAAGTAATTATGCTACATGTCTAGTTTTTTGTCCTATTCGAAAGTTGCGCACGCATGTTATGTTGCTCTTTCTTCTCTTTTCTGTTTTACTTGAATAAAGTAACCAGAATACAGCCAGCGTTTGTGTCGTTTAGTCTTTCTTTGTGAGTCATCTCTGTGCTTTTCTATTATGAAAGAAAAACAGATGAAAAGACAACTTGCCGCCAACAGGTACTGAAGCTGCGACCTTCAAACAATGCCTCTAGTGCTCTACCACTGAGCTATAGCGGCGGTCATCCCTCTGTACAGTTTACCGGGTATATATGTACATTTTAACATGAGAGCGTCAGTCAGCACTGAATGCTGCCCTTACAGCAAGTGTGGAACCCTCTTTTTGCCTGTTGGTATAACGTAGCATCTGATATAATTACGAGCTAGCAGCTGACCACGGAAAAAGGAAACTACTCAGGAAAGGGCCTGGCGTCAATATCTATCAAGCTGCACTGAAAACGAAAGTCGGCCATATAGACTGGGTCTATTCCCCTCTCTTGTTTATATGTGAACAGCGCCGTAGAAGGCATGTTGCTCTCTCTGGGTCGAAAAGCATGTGGGCTGCGCGGGGCCTGTGCCAAGACAATTCGAAAGGACCAGAACGGAACTCAACACACTCGGCCAGCACACTACCGCAGGCAAAATCATTTCGTGCTGGTATTCTACTCTTGCGCCGAAAGAAGTTTATATGAGCATTGTGGATTATACTGTAATATCTTGCTTTTATTAGCTCATGTGACAATATAAATATGATTTATTGTACCAGCAAAATTATTGTTCTGACTACAAGTGCCTGCAATTTGCATAGCTTTTCTTTCAATGCTTTGTCTTTTGTGGCTCATTTAATTTTTCTTTATGGGCTTTCAGTCAGACTGCTTGCTAGACGGGGTGATATTGCCACATAGTCGTGACGTCAACAAAGGTAACAGTCGACATGATAACAAAAAAACTCTTTATTTGGCCAAACTTGTAGC